AAGTTTTCAATTCCTAGCTATTAAGGAACAGGCAAAATTTGTTACAATGATGGGACCAGTACAAACACGGGGACAATGATTTTTTTCATCGAAGAAAACAATAGGACAAAAACTTATTTTGGCATTAAGTATCAATGGGGCATGTGCGCAAATGAATGCAGCAAAGTCAAATTAGGGTTATTTCATAATCATATACTTTACATAGTGTCTCAAGTTAATCAATTCGGAAAATATTCATTGTTTAATTATTCCAACAAACGTTTATCATTGTTTGAAATATCTATTATCTGAAAGACTCCTCCAGTAACTTTAATTAATTCTTAACAATGTACCTCTTTGTATTCTTTGTTCCAATAATCTCATAAACATCACTGTAACCTTTTTTACAAGTCGAAAGGCATGTGATGACAAATATTTGTTAATAAAATAAGAATGCCATGGGACGAGTATTTTTTAATGAGAACTATGTTTTTAAATAAATTATTGCTAATACCTTTAAAAAATTGTTCCTATACAAATCTGTATGAAAAAAGTCCAACATTTCTAATGTTTTGCTGAGCAGGGATAAAAAAAAAATCGATGTTGGACCACAGAGTGAGATGTTGGACCGGTCGATGAGATGTTAGACCCCCTACGTCACAGAATGGGCGGAGTTTAATCACATTTTTATTCGTTGGTGTTCATGATCAAAAGTGACGAACCTGGGGTTACATCACGGAAGACGGTACAAAATATATGTTTGTCAAAAAAAAAAAGTAAAATGAAAGGGATAACAAAACATTTATTAACTATGTTCTCGGGCAAGATGCGTTTTGTCGGACCCAAGAACCAAATTGTCTGCCTGAGGCCGTTAGGCCTCACGCAGACAGTTTGGTTCTTGGGTTCGGCAAAACGCATCTTGCCCTCAAACTTAGACGATAAATGTATACTATTTTCTTTTTCTTTCCTTATGAAATACTCATGACGATTCCTGATAACAAAGTCAGTCAAAAGCTTTAGAAGTCTTATTTTAAAAACACAATTAAAAACTATTTGTATGACATTTTGTGCATGGGCAATGCGGAACTGCCACCAAGTAACAGAGCAATATCACGGTAATATACACACACACACATATATATAGGGGTTGTAGGTATATAGCGGATTTGAAAGAAATATGGCGTACAATTCTTTCTACGAATACGCATGCACACACAGACACATGACATTATTTGTTTTCTTTTAATAAAATAAATACAGGAACGTATTAGCACGGGGAAGGGGGGAGGGGGGGCGCCCCCCCCCACACTTATTTTTCAAACATAACTTTTACTAATGAAAATGTTCATTGAAAGGCCGTTGCCCCCCCCCCCCACTTTTGGGTAAAGTAAGGTGATATAAGGGTAATATAGTAATTGTACAAAGAGAATTTGACACTGAAAGAAGTTGGTGTTGAAAAAAGTTGGCCTCTACAACCAACATCCCCTCTCACGAAATAGGATTTTCAAGTTTGGGAAATATTTTTTGCTTGTCAATTTTTTTTACAGGTAAGAATTTTTTTCTCTGGTGCCCCCTTTCAGAAACGACGCTACGTCGCTGAAATATAACCCCTTATCTATGTTAACAACAAGGTACATGGAGGAGTTCAGCTTTAAGTACAAGCGTTATCTAGGTATATGGGCCTCTTGTTTGGTTTAGCGACTTACATGTAATAACGAGATCAAGTATTGATCTTTATTCTTGTCCCAGAATAAATCATTCTAATATTTCCTTAAATTAGGTTCGGCAAAATAAATTGTTTTACCACCACCCACAAAACACAACACACTGACTGAGAAATGAAATGTACCTATAGTCATACTAAGAAGTTTGATGCCTGAGAGTACTGACTCTACTTCAAAAATATTTCTTCAAGTCTACAATAATTCAGACCGCGGAACATTAACTGACAAGATTGGAAATATGCAGCTTTCGTCATTTCTACCTGTTAGGCTGTTCAAAGTTAATTCTACGTTTAACGTCACCTCCAAAGTTCAAAACCTACGAGGGAGGGAGGGAAAAAATAAACAAACAAAAATTTCAAACAATTGTGAATTTATTCAAATAAACCTGTTCAGTACATTAAAAAACACTACAACTGAGTAATAAGAGTATTGGATATGACACCTAAGTTTAATTTTCCTTGCAGAGTTTTTCCTTAGAATGTTAATTTGTTTGAGTCCTTTTGTGAGCAAACAATGTAGACTGAATGTGCAGGAAAGTGGCTTTTAAGTTTTAACTAGGCCTTGGTTGTCTTTGGATTTATATCGCCTCACATTCAAGGTACCCTGTAAGGAAATGCTTCTTCTTGTGGAAATAGTTGATCAATATCTACAACAAAAATTATGATGTAAATATTTAATACAATATCTTGAAATTGAATTATGTTGTATTTTTTCTCATAGTACTAGATCTATTAGAATTTTATAACAATCAAAACATTCAATGATGGGCGGGTACAATTCGACGCGGACGGCCGAGAAAACATTGGATTGAAATGCGAGTTTGAAATTCATTTTCAATCCACATGAGCTGTTTTCAAAAGCAAAGTGTGAATGTATGATTCAAAAGACAAATAATTTTGATTCCCAAATACATGTTGGTTGAAATTTATATTGATATGAGTTCATCATGTTTATAGGTCATAGAAGACATTTTTTCAGGAGACGGCCATCTGATTCTAGAAAAGGGGGGGCAAAATTGTCGAGTCAGATCATGCTTTTTACTAATTAATTTTTAGGATGACAAGAGCTTTTTTAGTTTTTTCTTCAATTTAAAATGTTTGATAACTTTCTTATTTATTTCCTTGAGCCCCCGCCCTCAACGCACACATACATACGTATAAATTATACCAAACAGAAATCAAATATTTGTCCCTTCATATATTTCTTTAAAACGCTGGACAGAAAATTCTGATTTATATATTATTTTCAAACTATATCGAAATAGAAATTATTCTGGGTCAATCAGTAATAATGTGTCTTCTAGCGTAGCTGAGGTGGATTGGAAATGAATTTCAAACTCGCATTTCAATCTAACGTTTTCTCGGCCGTCCGCGTCGAATTGTACCTGCCCATTTCATTGTCTTGATTGTAACAGATAGAAATGACGTAAGCTTATCACTTATATCACTGATTCGAATAGGTGATATCACCTATTCAAAATCTGAATAGGTGATAGTGATAGCTATATGGCACGCCAAATTCACAAAAATGACCTAAACATAGTTTCACAGTCGATAAATTAGGTTTATCGGTTGTAAACTATAGTTTAAGGACTGTAAACTATAGTTAAAAACGTTAATCTATATTTTACATCTGTAAACCATAGTTAACGCGCTAATCTATGTTTCACAACCGTAAACTATACTTAAAACCGAAAACAATCATTTGCAATTGCAAAACATAGATTATCTGATAAATACAGTTTCACGATTTGTAAACTATGGTTTACAACTCTTTACTATAGTTAACGATCTGATAAATATAGTTTCACGATTTGTGAAACTATGATTAACAACTCTTAACTATAGTTTACGATTGTAAATTATAGTTTACAAACGTGAATCTATGTTTATCAACAAAATCTATTGTTAACGCTTTATTACAGACAGATAAACTTAGATTAGCATTCGTAAACTATACTTAACAACCGTTAAATATAGTTTTTCAGATGACGAATTGTTAGCTATACTTTATGGCACGCCAAATTCACAAAAATGAGCAAAACATAGTTTCACAGTCGATAAACTAGGTTTATCGGTTGTAAACTATAGTTTACGGACTGTAAACTATAGTTAACGACGTTAATCTATATTTTACATCTGTAAACTATAGTTAACGCGATAATTTATGTTTCGCAACCGTAAACTATACTAAACACCGAAAACAATCATTTGCGATCGCAAAACATAGATTATCTGATAAATACAGTTTCACGATTTGTAAACTATGGTTTACAACACTTAACTATAGTTAACGATCGTAAATTATAGTTTACAGACGTGAATCTATGTTTATCAACAAAATCTATTGTTAACGTTTTATTACAGACAGATAAACTTTGATTAGCATTCGTAAACTATAGTTAACAACCGTTAAATATAGTTTTACAGATGAAAACTATATATACTTAACGAATCGTTAACTACAGTTTACGGTTTGTAAACTATAGTTTACAGTCGATAAACCTAGTTTATCAATTGTGAAACTATGTTTAGCTAATTTTTATGAATTTGGCATGCCATAATACTTCATGGATTGTAACCTGTAGTTTACAGTCGATAAACCTAGTTTATCAACTGTGAAACTATGTTAAGCTCATTTTTGTGACTTTGGCATGCCATAGATATCACCAATTGAATAGGTGATATCACCTATTCGAATAGGTGATATCACTTTTTGGCAGTTAATACCAAAACGGTGCCCCATAGTATCGCGATACTTAATAAATTATTAAATGGTTCGATTGTTTACACACGTCAAATCTCCAAAGGTCAAACGGTCCAAATTGTTGGACAGTACACAGAGGAAGGCCTTGTCACAGAGAATACATCTGTGAAATATGTTCAATACTTCGAATCATCGTCGCAAACCACGGCCAAAATGTAAGCTCCTCTCCCACCTGGCCGGTAGGAGAGAGCTAAATATATGGGGACTCCGGACCGTGGCTTGAGACGATGACTTCGAATTAGCTATTCGAAAGTGACTGGTCAAGGTTAAAGTAAGATAAATATGTTTATACCCACTAAAAGGTCTTGACACAATTGGATACACAGTTTACAGACGGACGGACAATGGATGATCAGAAAAGCTCACTTGAGCGTGAGCTAAAACACAGAAAATGTTATCAGAAATCGAAATATGGCTAAGGATATATTATCGTGTCTAATAAAAATTCCCCGGAGGTATGGGGTGGCCTCTTTCATCATATTCCGGATAAATCGCTTCCGTTCGACTGTGTTTAAAAATTATGTTGCACGAGACATTTCCTACTTAAAATTTCAATCAGCTGCCTCACATTATTAGACGTTTATTTAAGAAAATACCTAACCATGCTAACGGTATATATATTTGCTTCTAATTTATTAACAATGAATGATTCAGTCATGAGGGGATTACATAAAGCAGACTATGCATATGAATATTTTTTTTTAAAAATGCATGTAACACATTAAATAACTATGGCAGTGAAACCATGGACACAAATATTTATGTCTCTGGAGAAACAAAATACAAAAAGTTTTTATAATATACAGTAGAGCTTTTTTTTTTTTTTTTTTTTTTTTTTGGTTGTCATTTACATAAAATAAATATTATAGAGTTATTGAACTTAAATTGGTGAATATTGGCACAAGTTGGCTGTACTTCAAATGCATGAGATTGTGAGTGCATTTGAACAGCCAATGAGTGCCAATATTCACCAATTTAAGTTCAATAACTCACTTATTATATAGCTAAAACATTTCCACATAATTAATAATATATAATTATTCCAACTAAAAAAGGCAAATTAATGATTTTTTTAATATCGGTATTCAAATTAAAGTCTGTCCTGTACGCGTTCAATATCAAATTATTCCGATGACCATTCCAAGCGATATGATTTGCTTATTTAGGTTTTAATGGGTCTAATATGTACTAAATTTTTAAAAAACAATTTCATTTTGTGTGAAAAATAAACACATCTTACCTTACTGCCACTTCATTTCGTTAAATTAGCTCTGAGAATTTGACCAGACAACTTTTTTTGTTTAGAACGGGGCGTTCAATATTGAACGCTCGTATTCGGAATGTTTTGGGCATACTCATATACGTAATACAAAGTCAGTGTTCAATAAAACATCAAGATATTAACACTAAAAATTCTTTAGATTTTTGGTTGTATTTTATTAGAGACTACTGTAGATTCCTTATTTTTCGCTAGTACTTTTTATCGCAAATGGGCTCTTTAACAGCAAATTGTGAGGATAAAAATTTGCGAATAGATGGTTGATAAAGAGTTTTAACATACATTTCAGCACCATAAAAATAAAGGCGAGTAATTTAATTTTGCGTGTGGTGCTTCTCGCGAAATTACGCGATAATTAATTCCACACGTTTTTTAAGGAATCTACAGTATTTATAAGCTATACAATAAAGACTACTTAAGACCGCGGAACATTAACTGGCAAAATTGGAAATATACAGCTTAAGTCATTTCTATCTGTTACAATCAAAACATTCAGTGATAGACAATGAAATGGGCGGGTACAATTCGACGCAGATGTGGGGAAAACATTGGATTGAAATTGCAGATCGAAATTCATTTTCAATCCACCTCAGCTAAGCTAGAAGGCACATTATTTCTGATTGACCCAGAAGACAAATAACTTCAATTTTGGTACAGTTTGAATTTTTTTGTCCAGTGTTTTAAATAAATTAATATTTAAGGGACAAATATTTCATTTCTGTTTGGTAAATATATGAATATATGTAATATGTATATCTTTGTGTTGGGGGGGGTTGTGTGAACGATTTTTAAATAAAGTTGTCCAACAGTTTTCAGTGAGAGTAAGTATAAAACTCATGCACTCTTATAATCCTAGAAATAAAATATATTGTCATGTTAAGCCATATGACCTGACTCGACAATTTTTTACCCACCCACCCCCCCCTTTCTAGATTCAAATATCTCCTGAAAAATAATCTTTGTCTTCTATGATCTTTCGCAATCTTAGAATTATGAGCTAAAACTCATATTATTGTGAACTTTAAACAATATGTATTTGGGAGTTGAAATTAGTTGATTTTTGGATCATACATTCACTCTTTGCTTTAAAAACAGCTCAGGTGGATTGAAAATGAATTTCGATCTGCAATTTCAATCCGATGTTTTCCCCATGTCCACGTCAAATTGTACCCGCCCATTTCATTGTCTATCACTGAATGTTTTGATTGTAACAGATAGAAATGACGTAAACTGTATATTTCCAATTTTGCCGTTTAATGTTCCGCGGTCTTATTGGTCTAACAAATATTTGACGCTTAACTTTAACAGATCGGATACACTTCCCAGGTATTCCCTTGTAGAGAAAATTTTATGTGAAAAGAGTGTTGTTCCTCTTATCAGTAAATAAAAACCATCACTGTTTTATACTGTTTATTTAAATTTAAAAGAGACATAGTGTTCAAAATTTCATATGAGATCTCACAGTGAACTGCCCCTATTTAATTTTTCTAAGTCTTGCACAATTTAAATCACATCAACCTGTGGTAAAAAAAAAATACGTAGAGAACAAAGTCAAAGCTTAAGACTTGTATTAAAATTAGGTATTCAGGGGGTTATTTTGCAAGTTTCTGATAGGAGATAAAAAAGTAATTGAAATGGCAACATGTAAGTAACCTGCAATTGGTTATATCTCCAAGACTTTGCCAACTTTCATTGGTCTCTAACCTCTCTTTAATTTGCCTTTTTAGCTCACCTGAGCCGAAGGCTCAAGTGAGCTTTTCTGATCAAAATTTGTCCGTTGTCTGTCGTCGTTGTCGTCGTCGTCGTTGTTGTCGTTAACTTTTTACATTTTCATCTTCTTCTCAAGAACCACTGGGCCAATTTCAACCAAACTTGGTACAAAGTATCCTTGGGTAAAGGGGATTCAGGTTTGTTCAAATGAAGGGCCACACCCTTTTCCAAGGGGAGATAATTATGAATTAGAGAAAAATTCATGGCATTTTTAAAAAAAATCTTCTTCTCAAGAACCACTGGGCCAGGAAAGATTAATCTCATGTGGAATCATCCTCAGGTAGTGTAGATTCAAGTTTGTTCAAATTATGACCCCCGGGGCTAGGGTGGGGCTGAAATGGCCGACCAAAGTTTTACATAGGAATATATAGGAAAAATCTTTAAAAATCTTCTTCTCAAGAACCACTGGGCCAGGAAAGATGAAACTCATGTGAAATCATCCTCAGGTAGTGTAGATTCAAGTTTGTTCAAATCATGACCCCTGGGGCTAGGGTGGGTCCAAAATGGCCGACCAAAGTTTTACATAGGAATATATAGGAAAAATCTTTAAAAATCTTCTTCTCAAGAACCACTGGGCCAGGAAAGATGAATCTCATGTAGAATCATCCTCAGGTGGTGTAGATTCAAGTTTGTTCAAATTATGACCCCCGGGTCTAGGGTGGGGCTGAAATGGCCGACCAAAGTGTTACATAGGATATGTAGGGAAACCTTTCAAAATCTTTTTCAAGTACTTCAAAGCCATGATTAGTGATATTTATATGGAATCATCCTCAGGTAGTGTAGATTCTAGTTTGTTCAAATCATGACCCCCTGGGGGGTTATAATTCAAGCCCCCCCCCCCCCCCCCCCCCCCCCGGAAACTTTTGTTTCTTTTGGCTTTTGATAATCAATAATGATGTACAAGTAGTTTTGAAACTTAACAAGTCATATAGCCATATACAGAATAAAAAAAACTTAATTGAAGATTGAAATGCAGAGCCAAAAAAGTGTACCCATAACTTTTTTTAGCTTACCATATAAACACCAGGACAATTACAAACTTTACTTAAAAACAAAACAAATGGCAGATTTGCAAATATCTCTTTTTTATGTTTAGAAAATTTCTCAAAGTTGATGAAGAATATTAATCAATCATTTCATTTTTAGTTAGAATATAGCATTTGATATCATTACATGTAGCTAATATTTACAAGCTGATTAATTGTCATATTTATGGCTTTGCAGGTATACTATTAAGAAATGAGCCTTGATATCACTTCACAAGGATGGTAACTTGTTGACTTCTTCCAAAAGAATATCCAATATATGTACAGCTGGGATATTAAGGAAGATAAGAATTTGAAGAAAATGCATTTTATCCCAGGAACAAAGTTTCTTCTTGCAAATATATTCCACAGCACAAGGCTTATACCCAGAAGAGGGAGTATCTGCAAGCAATGTCAATTGTGTCATAGTAGCCGTGTTTTGAACAATGAAGGCAAAGTGACATTTGAAAATCTTTTGTCTGAAGAAAACAAAAGAAGACTTCAGAATAAGTTACAAAATAATTTAAATGAGAAGTCTGTGATAAGAAAAGAGACTGTCTCAGACAACCACAAGAAAGCTGCTGTGTTGGTCCCCCTGTGTACAGTGAATGGTCAGCCATCTTTACTGTTTATGGTGAGGTCAAACTTAATTCCCACCCACAGAGGTGAAGTCAGGTAGGTCTTTGTGAAAAATACTTTAAGTTTTCTTGACTGAATTTTCTCAAAGCAAAGTAGCCATGTTTTGGTATATCTTGTATATCTTTGTTTGTGTTAAGTTAATTAAATATTATGCTGCACATTTTAGGAATATGTTCTGAAATCTTTGATTGCGGTTACAAATACCTGGTATACCTAATTATGCTTATGATTTTTATGCTACATGTAATCAAAAGATTTCATATAATGCAAAGAATTACACACACACTCACACACACACACAAATAAAAAAAGAACATATATCTTTATTGTATTATGTTTAATTAAAATAGAAAAAAATGATAGAGCATAGAATTTTGTTTATACTGTAATGTGTAAATATAATTGTTATTAACAAGAGGCACTCAAGAAATTTCTCTGTTAACAGATATCTAAGTAAAATATGTCATTCTTTTCAAGTTTTCCAGGAGGAATGATGGATGACACAGACCAGGATTTGATAGAAACTGCACTCCGTGAAACACAGGAAGAAATCGGTTTGAACATTGCCAGGGAGGATGTCTGGGGATCACTCCAGAGTTTGCCAAGTAGGGTGAGAAATTTCTCCTCTCTATTAGATTTTGTCTGAGCCATGCACAAATTCTTTTTTTATTTCTCTGTTTTCCTTAAAACTTTTTTAAACACTTTGCTTTCAAGAATTCAATGTACATGGTATTTACCACTGTAGAATTTAAATAAGTCTAAAGCATTTGTTTTCATTAGTACATGTACATGATTGTAATCTGTGATGGCATTTAGTATCAGCCCCAAGATAACATTACCATTAAATAATGAACTGTAATTTTAAGAGACCATATAAATATCTGCACATAAATCATTAAAAACATCAGTTTCTTATATACAGCAAAACTCATTTTGTACAAAATATCCAAGGTAGGTTTCCAATGAAATAATAAGATATTCAGAAATTATGAAAAAGAATATCTGTGTATTGCTATTCACTAATTGCATGTACTGGTACTAGTATATCACTGACTCATTACATACTGGAAGATACACATGTATAAAGCATTGTAGTTATAAAGCAGGTCCACAGGACAGTGTTAAAACTGAACTTTAACTAACAATTTAAATAAGTATCCTTTATTTTAGCAGGATGGTAAAAATCTAGTGACTCCTATCATTGCAAGTGTGGGTGAACTAGAAAAACACAAACTAAATCTTAACAAGGCCGAGGTATAGTATAAAAATAATTGTTTTAAAGACCTTTCTTTCAAATGAAATAATTTTTTTTTCTTGTTTATGTCTAATCTCCATGCAAGCTTTAAAAACAATACACATATTCACTCTTTTCGTATAGGTAGAAAATGTTTTTACCAGAACAGTTTCATCCCTCTGTGATAGCAAAAATGTTGGATCCACCCAGTTCAGGAGAGGAAAACTGCCCTCTCTTCAGTCTGGCTACACCCTGCCTGTATTCCTTGGAGGGGAACACAGAATTTGGGGGTTAACTGCTGTAGTTCTGCACATGTTCCTCCCAGTTCTTGCCCCTGGATTATACAAATTTAAATTACGACATAGACATTAATTAATGTATATTTAGAAATAAGCATTTGAAAGAGACTGTGATAGCATATATAATTATATTGTGTAACTCAGGAGAAAAATACCAATAGTGCCAACAAATTAGGAGTTTGGATTGGAATCACAAGACTTAATTAATTCCTATTATTGTCCACTAAATTTTGAAAATGTTGCAGAAGGATCCACACTATTGAAAACTGTCAGAATTGAATGAATGAATTTTTCCATTT